TGTACTTCAAAAGTACAACAATGGTTTAGCAGATGGAGTCAAATTTAGATGCAACCTAACATTTGGACCTGTGGTGACATCTATGGTGGAGTTGTTTAAATTGCAGATAAGAATCGACAGCTTGAAACATTCTGCGAAGCAATGCAAGATAAACTCAAAGAAAGGGCAGACGCTGTGTGGGCATGGGCTGTAATGTATGCAGTTGCTACAAAAACATGTGAAAACAGGGCAAGGCACAAGAATCAGATATTTATATATTTTTTTTCTCTTTTTTTCACTACCTGAGTTGCCCAGTACTTGTCCCAACAGCAACAAAGAATGCTTCATATGAAGGCATGCAAAAACAAATTCCAAAACTTCAGGCAGACCGTTCCAGAAAAGAAGTGAGTCCCTCTGTGCTCTTGTGGAAGTTTACAGTTGCACACCCTGTACTACTAAAAACTGCAGACGAAAGGAGTTTTCCTTATTCCAGATATGCTCTCTTACTTGTATTCTTTCAAGGCAAATACTCTTTCTCTTTGTAGTTAAGATGTCTACTGGCATGCTTCTCCATCTTCTGGCGTAGTATCCCCATCACTGAAAAGAGCTCTCCTTACACTGTAAACTTTCCAAACAAAGGCTTTCTCCTTGACCTGTCTGTGGAGGAGATTTCACAGACTTCACAGGTAATAATAGGTGGAAAAAAATATTCTTTAGTTTCATGTTAGTTATGAATTTCATACCTTTGCACTGAGGTATAACATAAAACACAGCATTCAGATTTCGTATTGTGCTTGTTAAATAAAATAATTCACAGTCAAAACACAATTTGCTTTCCTCGTGATTATACAGGTTTTTGGGGGGTAAAAATATGCCATCGGTACAAGCGCGCTGACACCATCAAATGTATTCTAAGAATTAAGACTAAATCAACAAAGCAAATTATTAATTACAATAATTCGTTTTTAATTACTTTTTGTTACAAAATGATCAAATTTAGTTACAGGTGATATTTCTTTTCTCATTTTTATGCAGTATTCAAGGTGTCGTGTCAGGTTGCATCCATATCCACAGCATGTCTCCAAAGTAAACAGCCTGTAGCATATTAACCCTCCTGCTGTCTTGAAGATATCCTCCTTTAATAATTTAATATTTAATAATAATTTGGAATGACACCAACTTATCTTGCTCTTCGCTTTTTTTCTGTCATTCACTTTAAAGATGGGGAAGCGCTCTGTTATGCACACATGGTGATGAACTTTGTGATTTGTGCCCATAGTTAAATATTCATTTGACAAATTCATTATCATAATCATGATAATCATATCAGCTGTGTGGATTGAAGAGACTTGGGGGATAGTGTTTTGATGATTATGATGATGAACATAGAAGAACAAGTACAATATTCCACTTTATAAAATTAATTATATTACGCCTTTTTTTTCACTATTGCAAAAGTCTTTTTCTCTGGTTTTAATGTGCACCAGTGTTTTAAAGGGTAATTCAAGACGGGCTCGTACTAAATGATTTGTGAGTTTGTCAAAACATTCTGTAATAGAGCTCAAGTGAACAGACCATGAAATACCTTTTATATGATAAATTTATGAGATAAAAAGCGGGATTAAAAATTCTGGCTGAAGCAGCCGGGATAGCGTTGGGGTCTGTTGTCAGCAAATTAAAAATATGTGAAGAACTTGCAAGTCTTCCCTATAATTAAATGATACTCCAGGGATGCGGAGGATTTACGGAATATAAAACAGAGCAGAACGCTTTTTCTGGATCCTAACTGGGGTGTTCAGAGACATGGGATGGATTCCTGGCTCAATAAGATTAAAATGTGAAATGATAAAGCCAGTGGAGTCATCTGCTTAATTTGACAGAACAAATAAATAAGTAAAAGATGGGGTAAATAGCACAGTTGTTGCCGATTTGTCGGCTGCACATCCATTATGTGACTCTCCCTTTCCACCACATCCCAAAGGTGCTCAGTTGGATTGAAATCTGGACACTCTGGAGGCTGTTTGTGCAAAATGAACGCATTGTCATATTAAGAATCTAGTCTGAGATGATATGAGATTTGTGACGCTGCATGTTATCCTACAGAAAGAAGCAATCAGACGATTTGTACAAAAACAAAAGACATCATCAGCAATAATGCTCAGTTGGTGCCAAGTAGTCCAAAATACTCCAAAAACATATCCCCCACAGTGACTCTACCATCGGAATTTTGCAGCAGAAATCAAGACTCATTAGACCAGAGAATGTTTCGCCAGTCTTCTATTGTCCTATACTGGTGAGCACGTGGGATTTGTAGCTCATTTCCTGTTCTTAGCTGATGGAAGTGGCACCTGATGTGGTGTTCTGCTGCTGTAGCTATATCCTCTTCTGCATACCTCGGTTGTAACAACAGATCATTTGAGTTACTGTTGTCTAATATTCAGACAAGATCCCTGTGCCAACAACAGTCACTCCATATGCAAAGTCACTTGTATCACCTTTCTTTACTGATGCTCAGTTTGAACATGGTGCATTGAGTTGCTGTCTGTCTTGGCTAAACAGATGCTTGCATTTGCAGTTGAGCAGTATCTCTAATAAAGTGTCCACTTGTTATATACTCAAAAAAACTGACAACAAAAAAAAAGTTTGGGGCAAATGAGAAACTTTGGAAAAAAAAAAAAAAAACTTTATTAATTTAACAAGCATACAAAACAACAAATCATTTTCTTCAAACTATCAATGCAGTTTCAGTGCAATTCCAAAATATACATTTTCAGCAGGGCATGTTAATCAAAGTTATTCACATCCAGACACAGCCATTTAAATAGTTCTTCTGATTATCATTTGACAATTGTCCTAGCCAGAGGAAGCTCACGAGTAATACCTTCTTGAGGTAAAACTGCACACATTCAGTCTTTAAATGTACAAAACAAAGCACTACACAATTAAATATTAAATACAGAAACAGAAACATAAGTACTACAGCACAAAACAAAACAAGCAGTTGTAAACAAATTTTGTAAACAAAAAAACCCCCAAAGTAAGTATGTGGTGATAGATATTTGGTTTGTGGATATAATAAATACCTAGCTGATGCACTGTATGGTATCCACACAGACAGTATTTGGTGTGAAAGTGTGACAGACTGTCAGTTATAATTTTTAAAAGGTGATAGATGTGGAAAATACAGAAAAAGTTTCCTCGTTTATGGGTGTATTTCCACAACTAAAGGCTATAGCATAGACAAACAGAGGCCAGTTAAACATTTAAAAAAGCTGCTTCCTTTCTTCTCCTCTTCCTTCACCTAAAAAGTGGGACATTCAACATTTGCTCATTTTTTTCCTTTTTTAAAATAATGTTCACCGGCAACACAGGAAGTTGTCAATCACCCACAGAAACATTGTTACTTTAAGACAGGATCATAGTATTAGCAGGGCACAGCAGTGAAACAATAACAAGAGCTTAAGGATGGCACTGTGAAAAAGAGGCTTTGAGTTGAGTCTGTTGTGAATGGAGGATTTTGTAGCTTGCTGAGTAAATGGCCTGGTCACTCAGTGATGACAGGTTAATATACAGCAACAGCCCAGAGGTTACAGTTTAACAGAGGTTCATTTCAGTAAGGCTAAAATATTCAATTTTGGGAGCTTTGTAGCACTGGTTTAAGCATCATTTCAAACAGCTCACAAAAAAAAAGTCAAAGGCTTTTCTATAAATCAGGCGCCACATGAAGTAATTATCTTTCTAGACTAGGAGGCAACCTGTAAGTTAAACACTGATATGTCCCATGATTCTTTGGAGTTCACTTTTTCCATCTCCTCAGTTGCTACAGGTATGCTGCTACATAAAAAGTGAACAGTTGTGCAACAGAAACAGAGCTACGACACTCGCATTCATTTGAGCTCATGTTTTCACGATCTTGCTTCATGATCGGCATCCTTTTTTTAAATTGTCACAAATGTAAGCATTTGTTTATATTGAGCTATTTATTGTTTGAGCTCTGGGTGAATACTCCACAGGCTTGTGTGAAAGCACAACCCATTCATAGGTTAGTAAGTTAGTAAGGAACACTGCTACAGTCAGACTCGGCTGGGTGTTAAACACTTAAATGCTGCTATCACAAGTGCAGCAAACACTATGTCAGCATCTCAAAATCCACCAATGACAGAAGAGCAGATTGTAAGGTAACCTAAATTAAATATGCCCTTTACGACCAAGGAACATAAATAGATACATCACTCTGTAATTGTGCTATTTCTTCAATATGAGGGATTCAAAAAGAACTCAAAGTTTCAGTTAGCGCCTTTTCATTAATTTGACAGCATCTGAGCATGTTAAGCTTTGTGCCTGAGCACCCCGATAACTTTTAAGCAAAAGTCGTGACAGTAATTTTTCCGGGTAGAAAAAATTTGTGTCACATTCGACATGGCGTAAATCTGAATGCATGCCTCTGCTGCATCTGTGCGAGTTGAGTATCTCACGAGTTGATCCCAATAAGACAGAAAAGCTTTTTTCTTTACGCGTCAATAGCTGCTGCCAATAATTCGACATATCACTCAAAATATTACAAACACACGTTTGTCTCTTTGTCAGTCCCCTTAGTATATCTTAATAAAACCTCGAGGAACATGAACGTAAAAGTCACCCATGTCTGAAGAACAGAATGCTGTCACTTTAACATTTTAATGTCCCATATCTGAAAAGGCCTCCAGAGATTAAAAGATTACCGTTAATAGAAGTTTTACTTATTACAGCACATTCAACATAAAGATAAGTGCTATTAAAAAAAAAGGATATAGGTAAATTTCAGACCTCCTACCCAGAAAAATCTGATGGTGTTAATGGTGTGAAAAAGCAAAGCATTCACTGGTATGTACCATTAATTAATCACACCACACCCAACTTTTCATAAGGCTGATCAAAACAATGAGCTCTGAAAAGCAGAACACACTAGATTATGGAGTGTAGCTGTCTGTTATTTTCAATTTAATTCAGCTGCATGTTTTGTTTTTGTTAAAATAATAGCACACAAATGTACAAAAATGAGAGAAAGACTGAAAAGAATGTGTGAATGTGCGTGTCTGTGCTTTTAACAGTGAAAAGTGATCAGGAAAGGCATGGTCACAGGTTAAAGGGTAATTAAAACACTCAATTACGAGCACCAAAAGCTTCCCCTGTACCGCTCTCTTTGGGTTTAAACCTTCCAGTATTTACAGCCACACCCCAAATCACTAATGTCAAGGCAGGTGTTCTCTGCCAGCTTATAGTGGGAAAACACCTGCTGTGACACCACTTTTTTTTTCCAGGTAGGGTCATAAGTGAACAATGGTTTAATCTTTCAGCCCACACAGAGTAGTACAGCAGGATTGCTGGTCCCATGTAACTGGGTGTTCATTTACCCTTTTGGTTCCTCTTCTTTTGTCTCATCCCAGCATGGATTATACACTTTTTTTTCTTTTTTTAAAATCTCCACCTCTCAAAAGCTGGCACTCCAGGTCTCTCACATTGTCCATATCCCACTCTACCTAATACACTCCTCCTCTGATGGGCTTTCTGATTCTTCATTCTCGCTGTCATCTAGCTCGGGAAGATCTCCCCAAAGGAGCAGATTAAGGCCTGCAGACACATGTGAAGGGGACTTATGAAGTCTTATGTACACATCTCATGGACTATGCAATTGCATAGCATTTCAGTTTTATCAAAGGTGAGTTTATACTGACCTGTTGAATCCAGTCTGTTGAGAGTAGAAACAGCATCGCTATTGAACATCCAGAAGTGGCCGTTGTTACAGGAGAGCAGGCAGGGTTTGCAGGGGGCTACAACGTGATAGCCCACAACATTTCCACTAAAAGAGGGAGGGAGCGAGGATAAAGAAGAAACGTGAGTCAGCTATTTGCTGGGGGCACTTCTGAAAAGTGCCAACACTACTAGTGAGTTTCCATTATCTAACACATGTTTGTGTTTGCCCTGCGTACAATAACAAAAGCCCATGAACACAAATGAAACTCTATAAAGGTTCACTGTTTACTGTACTGTGCTGTAAATATGATTTAAAATTAATATGTGCAGACATAACTGGCAATGGCTTTAATATTTATTTAACTGACATTTTTAAGTAAAAACAAGTATTTTCCAGTATCATTTGATCACTTGTGCTAAAGTGTATACAAGTGATATTGTGCTAAAGTGTATAAATTGTAATGTTGCTTTTCAAGCACTACCTAATGTTTAGTATAGCAACGGGCTCAAAAATAAAATAATCAGCATATAAACTTACAGTGGACAGGCCCAACAATTTGTACAGATATGTGTACATATGCAACTACCTGTTTGTTGTCCTTCTTATGAATATCAACAGATTATGTTTCCAAAGTAAACACTGCAAAGACGAAAAGGAATAATATAATATAATATAATATATACCATTTGAGACATGCGATGTCTCTCAGTTTGCATTTACAGCTTTCAGTGGAGTAGCAGCTGGCCACAAAGTCAACAGTTCTGCGGGGAGGGTTCGTGCAAGGAGACACAAACACACCCATTAAAGGACAAAAAAAAAAAAAAACACACACTTAATTTATATTGTCATACAACAAACCCTATTAATTATAACGGCAGCTTGGCCAGAGCATTGTGTATCTCCTCCAATCGGTTAAGCAGACAGACATCACTTTGCCACAGTTTTGCCACTTGCCTTGGAAACCGACATAAACAAAAACTAGCAGCACTACTAAGAAAATTAGCTCTTACCTATTGGGAGGTATGTCAGTGGAAAACAGCTCGACCTCGGTGTCTGCAAGAAGCACTGCCTTCATGCCTCTCGTGCAGAGCAGGCTGTCACAAAATATGCAGTTCACCTGGGTCACACACTTGTTTTTAAAATTAGCGTTTGAAGTAGACATTGTTGTTTTGCTAAATGCGGACTTCGCCCTTTTTTTCACGTTCTTTCTGCCTCCGGACAGCAAACGCAGAAAGGGAAAAAAGAACCAGACACTGAGAATTCTCACTAACCGTTCACTTCGGTTTAATAAAGCTGTAAATTAACTTTGCAAGCGTCAACGCTAGCTCCAATGCCCTTGTGCAAACGTTAGCCTTTCCTAACGATATAACGGAAGGCAGCTAACGTTAGCTTGTGAAACGAACATACGAAGGGATATATATATATATATATTCTCGCGAAACCCGCTCTATATGTATAAAACAAGCTGTACTGTTAATTAATCCACGATATCGATGAACAACTGGCCTGTTTTCACGGCTTACTGGGCATCCATTCATGTACTTAACAGCTAACTAAATAGCTGTCAGCTTTGTTTACAACTTCCTGGTATTTAACGGGACTTCCTTAAACTATCTTTAAAAGACCCTATACGCTATTTTGATTGGATGTACACTTTATAGTAACCAACGCTATTGGTCAAATTCATTACGGATTCTGAATGCGATTGGGTAAAAATTCAACTTGACGAACCCTGATTCAAAATTCTGAAAAAAGCTGATTGGTGGACTTGAATGTCGTTCACGTGTGACCGTTTGACCAATCGTGGTGGAGTGGTAGGTATGAGGCGGGGTCGTAGTTTAGCCAGTGTAAAAGAAAAAGAAAGTTGACGTAGTAATAGGCTGAAGATGGAATGCATTTTAATATATGTATACAGGTATTCTGTTCTTATAAAAGCTGAATTTATGAAGGAATGTATGTATGTATTCACAACTAGCGTGTTACAGTTTAAGGGTTAGAATTTATATGCATTTACGCTAATGTTCATAGCTAAATAAAGCACGAGGCTCTCTTCAGCCACATTTGCAGTGACCTGCTCCTAAATAGGTGTTCCTCTACCAACACATTTAAACTAAGCTCACCTAGGCAAATAAATACCCGTCGGTCCTGCAGCATGCAAGCTAAAGGCTTGCTGTAGCAGATGTAGTTGTATGTACTCGTGAATGTGTGCATCCATGCCTGTCCTGCGCACTGGGGGCTGACCAGCAGCCAGCCCCTCCATCTCTCCACTTGGTTTCCTCTTTCGCACTTCAGGAGGTGGGTGGTGGAAGAGAGGGTAGCACTTTAGTTTAGACAAGCATACGGGCAGCAGTGAGATCGAGATTCGCTCGGGGCAAGTAACAAAAGAAAAAAACTTTCCAAAGTGCTGAGTAAGAAGTTAATCGGGTTTTTTTTCGTAAAGGGAATGACTCTCCTTTCTCATGAAGCTGTTGGCACCATTACTCTTGAGGAGGCGGTGAGGCGCGGCGTCGGGAAGGAGCACACAGCAGCAGCAGCGCCAAACTCACAATGCGCCCTGAGTGAGCAGAGGCAGGGAGACAATACTTATCCACGGGAACACTGAAGAGCTGTAAATATCTCATTTTGGCTGTTTTGTTTCTTTTTTCCTTTTTTGAAAAACCGGCTCCAGATTGACAATCCTTCCATCTACGGCTGATTTGTTGAATTATTAAGAGAAATTTGACTTTACTGCGAGGACAAGTGGTTGATCTCCAAACTCAGCCATGACGTCTCCAGCGAAATTCCGAAAGGACAAGGAGATCGTGGCCGAATATGAGACTCAAGTTAAAGGTAAAACTTTTCAAAGCCCCTCAGATGTTTTCATGCAGCACAACCCGGAGAGATTTAGCGTCAAATCTGTGCTTACTTTACTGCGTGCTGTGTTTGATCTGACTTGGCGTAATGCATCCCATTTTTTCTGTTACCCTCACCTCTCCTATCCTACCAGGCGTAAAGGACAGACTTGCCTTTGCATTTCACCAACCATTCGAGAAGGTTGTCATTGTGCAGACGTGGCGGATCACTTTTTGTGTGTATAAATAATGGCAATCATAAATGGTACATGATGATCAGCGTGCCCCCAAGCGTGTGATCGCTCTCCTTTAAGGCAACGCGCCGATGGCCAACAAAAGGCGAAAGGAAACGCTCACAAATTAGGTGTCGTCCAGATGTGGTCTCACCGCGGCCTCCTATCAAAGCATACGTTAAGGTGATGTGTGTATGTTTGCGTAGAGGACCCACGGGGCTGAGGTTTCGACACTGTACAAGGCAGGGCGTTTTCTTTCCCCTTCTGTCTCCTGCGTGTCTGTGCTGCTGCTGTGCACCGGCACCGCTCGCTCATGCGTTAAACGCAGACTGCAATTAAATGATCGATTTGTGCCCTGGCTTGTTCATCGATCGCAGTTCATCGGTGCAGCTTCTGCCGGTGATCAAGGACACGAGAGGGCTGGGAGAGTAGATTGTAACTGCTAGGAAGGATCGTTTGAGTTGTTAACTAGTCGCTAGCTGATTGTTGTGTTTGTTGATTTTTTTCCCTGTCATCAGGCAGTCACACTGGATCCAGCACCCACTGTCACTCTGAGTGACAGTGGGTGCTTATCAGATCTTGGGGGGTGAGGGGTTGTGTGGTATGTACTTGAGGCTGGAGAGGGAAGGAACAGGCTCAGAGGTACCAGGAAGGGGAGTGGGTGTTACAGCATGTTTGCACTGTTACTGCAGTGCCAGATGACTAGATAAGATGGGCCACTGCTTGGCTTATCCCCCAACACCACCACCACGACTGCTTGATTCTTATTTCCATTTCGAAGAGAAGACACCAGCCCACTTCACGCCCTCGCCTCTTTACTGGCACCTCTCAGCACTCCTCTTCTGCCGAAGAAATTCCCCATGGCGTTCTTTGACAAAGCTTGATAGTCAGTAAGGAACAAAATACTTTTGAAGTGTTATCGGAGATCACAAGGTTGTTAAACTGGAATTACTGGTGTCAATGTACATATGAGTGGCAAACACAAGGAAGAGCGCTCGTCGAGTGTCTCAGTGAGGTGTGGAGCAACGGAAAGCAGACAAAACACACCTTTGATGTCCCCGTTGGCATAGATTTAACAAGTTTATGGAACCTCAGGTCATTGAAGCTAGTCATCCATAAGCTGTTGTTTATTTGAGCAGTTGAACTGAGGTTTATTTTAGACCTCTCAAACCTTTCCTTTCAATATTCTTTATTTTATTTTTCTGACACTAAATCTGCAACAAATCCTGGCAGAGGTTTGATTTGGCGATGCACTAAAACAGGTATTTCTGGCATCTGAACAAAACACCAGAGTAATTCAGGGTAACCTGGCTCACAGTTAACCATTTCTTCCTTCTTTGCTTCATTTGAAAACTTTGGCTGGCACCACAGTGGCATTAGCGCCGTTGTCTCTGTGTCCTTTTAGACCGCTGTTTATGCCCAGCGGCACGTGTAAAGACTTTCTGTCTGTGCTGTTTTGTGGGCACTGTCTGCTGGGTTTGTCAGACTGCGGACTTAATGTTTGCCCATCGACCCTCTGCATTGATTCCTCCTGTCACTTACCTCACTGCTCCCCATCCTATCTAGAAGGAACTGATTATAGGGTAAATCTGTGCATCCTCATATCTATTTGAGGGGTGTGTGTGTGTAGAGATGCATCGAGATGCTGTCTCTTCTGTGACATTCCCAACAGCATGCCTTCACTACAGCCTGTCATTACCCTGTGCGCTGCTGCTAAAGACTCTCTTGTAGAAAGCATCAGGCAGCTCTCACTCTTTTTCTCTCTGTGTTTGCTAACGCGTGTCTGTCTTGTTTCCCAAATCTTCGCTAGATCCGCTCTACAAATTTCAGTCCTGCTAGCCAAGAAGGGCTCATGCGTACCTGCATGACTCTGCTATTATCAGGCAGAAGGGATAGACTTTACATGTCGCAGCCATGCACTGCAGCATCATGGGGAAAATGGATTTAAATCCTCCCCAGATGACATTCATGAAGCGCTGCAGCAAGAGAGGGAGAGGCATGAATGCTCACGCTCTCACTGATGAGTGTGCTTGACAGTGTTTGTCAAGCACACGGTGAATGGATTTCTGCTGATTATTCTGGCTTATTAGCTACTATAAATTTGTGTTTGTGGCCTGTGGTTTATTGTTTCTACAGACTGGTCACACTTCTGCAGTATTGTCATACATACATACACTGATCATCTGTGCCATCATACTGTGTTCTAGCACAGTTGTTACTTGGTGGAAATAGAGATGGTATCCACGTGTTATGTAGTTTTAGTATTCCATGCAACATTAGGCAGTATTGGGCAGAAAAAGATGAAAAATCATCAAAAGCTCTGGTGAGATTTTGAGATTATTTGTCCCCTTTATATGGCTCAGTGTTTTAAAGCTTAAAATACACGCAGTAACTGGTGACTGTTTGACTTTTACAGATGGAAAATACTTGTATTTGACATTATGATTTGTAATGCTCTGTATTCTTTTGATTACCAAAAAATGATGTTGTGACTCGATACCACAGGCACGGCGATGTCAGTGGACGTGGTCACCTCATCTGTTGACAGGGTACCTGGATAAGGTTTTAAATGCACACCGGCGCTCGAATGCTGTCATCTCTTTGTCTTTGTTATTTCACACAGACAGAGTCCCGATATTCTAATATTGGATTCTGGCTGATGAAAGGAATTTTCCTACTTGGTTTGGAAGAGGGTGTGTGTGTGTATATAAGTGCCTGAAGAGAGGCACACACACACACAGACAGACAGATGTGCTGAGAAGTAAAAGACAGACAGAAAGAGAATCAGGAATGGAGAAAGAGGAAGAGAAAATACGACATATTTGCAGAGGGATAGAGAGGTTATGACTTCAGAGTATTGAGTTTTTTGGGAACCAAATAAAAAAAGCTGTGACTATTCACCAGCACTTTAAGTAGATCTTTCTATTGTAATTTTAAAAATCCACACGCGTTTGCAGGCAGGTAAACAAGGGTTAGGGTGAAAGCCTGTAAATGTGTGTCGACCAAACACTAGAGAGCAACTTCCTATATTCCAGTGGCAGCCTTTAATATCAGGAGCAAGAAATATTTTAGTGGAAAATTAAGGTGTGCCGAGTCTTTTAACAGATGTTTCATTTTTCAAATGCGTTTTGGCTCAGCCCTTAAGCAGCTGTCGGTGTTTTACACATCTGGGAATGTTAATAACTATCTGCCTTTGTTGCCACTGATCAATTTTGATTGGCCGTGGTGTTTTTGTGGTTTGCTGAAAAAAAAATACAAAAAGGGTACGAGTGGCCATTCAATTTGACGTCGAACTGAATAACTGTTGCTGAGTTTTAGAGTAAATACTGAGAGACCCATTTAAAGAAACAGTATCCTTACTTTACTTACTTTTCCTAGCAGGCTAATAAGCTCAGTCATCTCTGCAAGTGTGATGTGCGTCTGTCTATGTGTACATATAAACTGCGTGTTTACGGTTGCCAGAGAAACATATGATTTAGGATAAATGGCTGCTTTCACTAGCACACAATAGGAAAGGTGGTGTCACAGCAAGAGGTTTTGTCT